ATTACGCAGACAACTAACACTGAGCCCTGACGGTGATCTCAAAAAAGATCGAAACGTTGGCACGATAAAGAAAATGTTTTTCTGAATAACTGTTGAGTAAGGTTAACGGCCAATTATTAAGCGTTAGTGATAAAAAGATTATTAAAGCCCTTCGGGGAAAAAGTACTTTCAGGCCACCCCTTGTGAATAACCCTATGAACCCAAGCTATATTTGCGTTTCACGTCTGCATTCCAATTATAGTCTTTATTGGAGACTGGGTGCATTTTTCCTTATTCATTTTAGTCTTATATTTTTTGTACGATTCTGATTTGATTGGTCGTTTCTTGAAAAGGATTCGAGTTTGAATACAAAATTGCGGTGTGGTCAGTTGTATTGGGATTCCATGGCATAAATGGTATACGGTGTTAGTTTGGCCTCTCCCTGGAAGGTCTTGATTATCCTAAAAACTTACTTGTAAAATTCCACAGACTTACTCGCCAGGTGCATGCTCACTTCAGCGAATAAGCACAGTGCGCTCGGACGTTATTTTTTCCTACTTAGGAATAAATAACAATGGAAGTGTGTGGGTAAAATTAGAATATAAAACGGAAAAGAATAAGGAAACTTCGTGAACTGAAGATACGACTTTCTTGACAAATTAAATCATTTATTAAACTTAGGAATTTATTCAATTAAAAGAAATTAATAGGCCTTAAACTTTCTTGTAGCAGGAATAAATGAAACGAACGCAGAAATACGTAAAGTACAACTAAGTTACTTACGGTCAGCTGAGCAAGCTACAAAGATAAAAGCGACCTGCACCGAGGGAATCTCCAGAGCGACGTATCAACAGTATGGGTCTAGGAATGCTACCTTGAGCGACACCGCCGTGTATTGGTGTATTCTCCGAGTATTCCTTACTCTGAAGCAGCGGTCAGTTAAATAAGATTGTACGATAAGGTGGGAGTGCCTGGGTGACATCTAGGAACCCTGCTGGATGGTATAATTATGTGGACGGAAGTTGGTGTGAAGGTATTATTAAGTGACTCGAGGATGGGCATTGAATATTTTATAAGTTGTATGAAGTAAAATGCAACGAAATGGTTAGTTAAATTGTTTAGGTCAAAGCTGCTTGGAAAATGTGTGAGAAGAACCATAAAATAACTTGTCAGTTGTTACTCGAGGATAGTCGTTTCCTCGTTCTTTCGTGTCGTTGTGTGCCAAGTAATTTCTTAATAAGCTATGCCGTTAAAAGTTATTAGTTAGCCGTTCAGGTTATTTTTGGACGGAACTCCGAGATTTTCCCTTCACACGGAACTGCGATTAGTCAAGGGAAGCGGTTTCCACGACAATAAATCGTTCGTGTTGGACTCTGTTGTCAACGGAGGAATTACGTCTGCGCAGCGAGCCCCTGATGGCTCTATCAATTCTCTTTCTGGCTCTGTCCTTCCATGGAAAATTTGATAAAAGCTCAATACATCACTGTCATAGATGTCAGTGAAAATGCGCCCGTAATAAAGCGTAATTTAAGAGATCAGAAAATCCCGGAAAATTGTTCCCCCTCTTGAAATCAAAGCTTAGGTTTTGTTTGTTATCACCAGCTCCTTTATTATGTTGGTTTGCAACGTTGGGCTTTTACTACAATATGATACAAGCAACGTGGAATAATACACTAAAAATATATTTAATATAAACCAAATTAAACGAGATCACGATTAAAATTTAACTAACAATTTTTTACCTCGTTTGCTCTTAATGCGTTATTAAGGTAAGAAATTGTTAGCTATTTATTATTATTATTATTATTATTCTACCACTAAATGATTTTCCGGTGATTTGTTCAATTTTCTTTCAAGCCATAATTAAATAATTTTTATTAAAATGCATGAATTTTTGATCTCATTTAATTTGTTTATCATTAAAATGAGTATATTTTAAGTAAAAGTGGATATACAATAGTTTGAAATAAAGAACAAAATACGAATGTCCGGTTTTTGTCATAAGAATATAAAGATAATATATTATTTATTATATTCCATAAACGGGGTCTATAAAAAAAGTTTCCGTTTTCAGTATTAGAAGTATCGACCTTTCATTTACAAACACTCTGGATCAAGGTATGGTCCTGAAGAAGAAAGTAAATTTAGTTGCTACTGCTTTCGACGTATTTTAATATCATCATCAGCCTGTAAAAACTTAAATATGCAATCTGTAGATATATTTAAGGTTGTTTTGTACGTTATATTGATAGTTATATCAATTGTGCAAATATGTTTTTCATAATGTGAAATTAATGTAGGCCCTGATGGTGACTTTAAAATAGGTCCGAAACCTTATCTCTAGCAACTGAATTTACTTTCTTCTTCAAGCCCGTACCTCAATCCAGAGTGTTCATATATAATCAAAAAACACAATTTCGTAAAGTATTTATTATTATTTTACATGGATTGATTTTGGAGTGGAGCCCGCTCCCCTTCTTCAGCTGTTAAATTAAAACCTAATAAAGACCCATTAAATATGACATTTCCCGTCGTCGCACGTTATCAAAAACATTATGATATGCCGGCAAACTACATTGGTCATAGCCAGCTCTCTCTTCCTTATCTTTCTCGCGTTTTAAACCTAATAATTTGTTTTACTGATTCTCCAACCAACTTATAATGTTTTATATTATAACGGTAACCAACTCTCTCTATACTTTGTCCTATTGCGAGCCTCTCTACCTCTGGGCCTCGTCAATTGTGGATAAAATAAAACGAATAACAAATGCGATTACACAAATACACAAAAGCAAGACAAATGCATGATATTCTGGATAGCATTCAGACTACCCCCGTTTCGATGATGAAATGATAATATAAAATTATACATTTAAAAAAGAATCTATTTAAAAAAAATAATAACAATATTTAATGTATGATTAAATATGTAAAGATAATATTTAAATAAAAATAAACGTATCTCACATCTCTCTTCCTATGGGATGAAAGATAACATTTCTTTATCATTTTTGTGCGTAAAATATTATGTGCGTTGGGGGAAAGAAATTGGTCTAAAAACTCATCGAGGGAGAAAATTGTCAATGCTTCACAGAAGACTGAAATATGAGATAGTATTACAGCAATAACACTCATTTCATTTATATATATATATATATATATATTGCGTAATGTGCTAAAGCACTACTCGTGTTGCACATATTTAGCCACGGCTCAAGAATTATAATATATTAAACCCAGCCACATGAATACTTTCTTCCACGGAATCCAACAATGGGAGTTGAAAGGACGTTGAAGTTTGAGTTGAATTTTCGTATAGATTTGATATTATAATAAATGTAAACAAACAGAATAGTTCACGTTTCTATTTAATTGAACCACGGGGTGCAAAAAGTCAATGTTCAATGGAACTGCTTTATAATTCGAAAGTTTGAATATTTTTAAGAACGTTTTAACAGGTTAACGTGTATATTGATTAGCCGTCAATTGGCCAACGTCAATCAAAACTGGGTGAGAAAGGCCTTCCGACACTATTTCGAGTATGACGGTAAGACTTTGCTGAAGGTAATCCTAAAATGGGATAGAAAGGAGAATACGTAATTCAATCGGCCGAAATAAATCTTGAGAGCCCGTGAAACGATATCGGTCTGTATCAACTTTAAACCATCAGGTTGTCATCCGAGATAGGGTCCCAGGAAACGAGAGGTTAGGGGGATACCAGTCCGACCCGTTTGCCAATGATTCTTTTCCCCTTTATGGGTGAAGGGCCGCGACAATGTTGAATTAGAAAAAAATTGCCCGAAGATGAGAATAAACATAATAGGTTAAAAAATAAAATTAAAAAAACCAGCCTAAAACATGGTCACATGACTAACAACCGGCCAACCGGAGAGAGAAGAAATGCCCTTCAACTGGGAAAATCCAATTGTTTCAGGTACAAAATGTAATTTCGACCTTTCCCAATAGTTCGCTTGGAAAAGGATTTTTTTTACAGTTGACCTGAGAGGACTAGTTCGATTTATATAGTTTGGCTGCCTGGAAGGTCTTATTCACCACCCCTCCCATCTCGAGTTAACGAGCTTTCAACTGGCTTAAGAGCCAGTAATCCAATTAAGAAGTCTACCAAGTAGTAAAATGACTACCTCATTAAAAATTATCACAATTCAACAAAACTGAAAATAATCGATTTGATACTCCATTGAATGGTAGCTTCATTGCAATAACAAAAAACAAGATTGATAAAAAGGTAATTTATAAAAGGAAGGAAGAACGAAAAACATGTTTATTGAAAAATAGTATAAATTTGAATAGAAAAGTATGGCGTTTTGTAACAAATATTACGGCATGACTAGCCGTCTGCTTGGTTGAGGTATTAAGTAAACTTTATGCATAATATATATACAATGTATGCCTGTGTGTATGTTCCCTTCCCCCTTTTAAGTTCAATAAGTCTAATAATAAGAAAAAACTAAAAATGACAGAAATAATTATTATAAAAAGACATGATATGCACGTTGTTGGTATTCTTTATCTTCAGTAAGTCGCTCTTAAAGATGCAAGAAAACTTTTAATAATATATACTTAGTAAACTAAGCCGTTTGACCGAACCAACGACAATATCCGGGTCATAATGATCCAAGGAAACGCTACTGAACGATCCTTTCTTTTCTTTAATAATTGCATTGAAGAATTATTCTTCGATATATTTTTAGATCATCATGTCTGTTATAGGTTTTTTATTCTTTAATATTCCATTGGCACTTTAATGCCCAGTTTAATAGATGTATTGTAGATGTATGTTCGGAAAAAATGTACTGAATATTGAAACATCTCTTTTCTTCACCAATTTTCTCTTTTGTTATATATTTTTCTACATATTACATATGTACTAATTGATTAAGTATGTTTTACCCCTTGGTCGATCACGACGATACTGAACATCAATGAATTTAACCTCAATACGTCATACCGTGTTTACTTCATTAATTGATTCTTGTCTGACTGTATCATGCCTGTTACAGGGAGTATCCATGCGATCATTACACAGCCGTGATAAACGTCACACTGATGAACACTGGCTGCCCAAGAACGGAGATACAGGAAAAAGCTCTCCAACTCCTTCAAATCCTGGACAAACGTTTTTTCGGGGCTGTAGGACCATTTCCGGCAGAAGGCGAACCAGGTGAGTCATTCTTTACTTTTATTTAGACATCAAATATATCAATACCTTTTTTAAAATAAACTCACAATGTTCAATATCAAGATGACTTATTGAGAGGTAATATATGTATGTATTTAGGAATAATTTGATAACTTGGTTAATCAAGTGATGTAAACTATTAGCATTTTCGACACTAGCACCGTCTGGGGATAAGTGTGCTTTCTTAACTTTTTTGAGGTTAGACTTTTATTCATTACCGTATGTTAGCCATGAACGGAATTGTTAACAAAATAATTATAAAGTATGAAATAAGTTCGATTGCAAAAGGGAGGATCGAAAAGGTGGTTAAAGCCCGATAAAAATTCAATTGTTACATTTAACTAATTAATCTAACATCCTATATCTTTAGAATAAATAATAATCGTTATTAAAAACGAGCAAGAACTCAAAACAATATCCGAAAAACCGGGAATGATTTTCCTGAACTCATTGGTTCTTTTAACGGAAGATGTTGAAAGGCTGGATCTTATTGTTCAGTATTTAATTAAGACAGTTTAGTGTGACGTCCATATGTGAAAAGGAAATGTTTTTAATTATTTTATTATTATTGGAAGAATATTAATAATAAATGTGGTGGTTAGTACATTTTTTATGCAATTCGCTGTTCATTAAACTGTGAGACTTATTTTCCTAGCTGTTCACTTATCTCATTTTATATTAAAGAAAAGAACATTATAATTAAAAAATTTATAACGGTGCATATTTGGTTTTCGTTCTTTCTCAAAGATGTAACTCAAATTTGCCAGAATCTAGGAATCGTCGGTTACAATCAGAATCTGCCAATCATTTTATTCCGGTCCAACGTCCTTTCTGGGGTGGTTTTCTGCCTATCACATTTAAATTCAAAAATTGCAAAAACTCTCTTACCTTAGTCTATTACCGATCCACCCGGGGCGAATGTCAAAGATGAAGTTCAGAGGTAATATCCGTATTTGATAAACATATGAATCTCCTTTGCCTTTCCGATTTTTTCCGTGGTGCAAATATTGGAATAGCTATGTCGGGATGTTCCTCACCTGTTAGTGTTAACGTTGCAGGATTATAAATTTTAACTTCATGTCTATTTATTTGTAATTTTTTAATTAATGATTGCCTGTAGACAATTGCGAACTCCGACATACATACAAAAAATATCAATTATGTATATTTTTTTATATTTTTTATCATTATGATATATTACCGTGAATAACCCTTGGTTACGTTGAGTCTGAGTCTATGTTCAAAGAATTTGAAACCATTTATTAAAAACTTAATTATTTAAAGTTGTAGATATCTTTAAGATTGTTTTGCTCTGATGATGACATTAAAGTAGGTTGCAAGTTTGGCAGACAACAATCGAATTTGTTTTTGCTTAGAGACCATATCAACATCTAGATTATTCGTAAAGAGATATTACGACCTGTCGTCATAATAGGGCACCCTGCATACTAAACCCGCAAGACTTGTAAGTGTTGCAGAAGTGTTGCTTTGTGCGCCGTTAGGTTTACATACTGGTCGCGGTGCGCAGGTATTAAAGAGAACCGGCTGCTATATAATTTATATAATCTAATCCGGAGTCGGACTAAGAAGCGATGTTCACTAATTAATCCATCAACTGCTGATTAATTATTTGTTTATATTAAAAGTCATAAAAATATTTTTAAGAAGAACATATAGAAAACATAAAGTTAAGGATAATACGAAGTTAAGCCGAGGCCATAAACTGTAATTACTCTGTGGCAATGATTTTAGGAAATTAACTTTCCTGTTTCAGTTTTTTTATTGATTTTATTGCTATGACATCTAACTATTCAGCCAATGGACAGACGATGCAATATTAATTGTTTGTAAGGGAAAAGGAAATGATTGTATTTCTGTAAGATCTTATGGGGAGCGCTACGCAGAAACTGTAATCCTTGTCACAATACATTTTTGGCTTGTTGCAATGATTCGAAAAATGATTTTATTCTCATTCCTTCCACGTATCACACCAAGCAATATTTTCTGAAAATAAATGTAAAAGGACAGTTTTCGAGATGGTGGCTCTGGTTTTCTCCGGTTTTATAGAAATGTTTTAAATATAATATATATTTAATATATGTTTTAATATGGATGGATCATTAACTCGTTTTTAAATGACAGTAGCCTTTACTTTTCAATCGGTAAACCAAATTGGTCTGGTGTGGTCGGACATCAAAATCCTTTCGCGCTAGTTTTTGACCGGGCTTGATTTTTTAGTTAAAATAATTATTACAAGTGATGGTCAAAAGTGTGTGTTATATGGGAAACAATAAATTTTTTTCTTATTTATCTATTACTGCTAGAATATGTATCACAAGGGCATCTGCAAGCTCCTTTGTTAACGAGTAGATGCTGCCAAGGTTTGAGTCTGGTCTGGCCTATTCGCAATCGGGTCGTGATTATTCATTCACCCGGCATCGTTGCTGATAATTTGGCAGCTCAGTCGGCTTTATCAATGCCGACATGACCCGGAACCCAAGTAATAATGACATTTTTTGTATTTGTTTAATTAACTACTTTTATTTTGCATTGCTCGAATTTGTTGGTAGAGAGAGATTTAGTATTTATATTAATATACAACATATTAACAAAAAGAATTTTATTAAAAAGATCCATGTTTATTTTAAAGTAGAAGGAGACGATCTTTTCCTTTTTAAAATTTTATTGTTCAACGGTTTGACCATAATTTAATCGGAAATCTTTATTGGAATTTGCTATTCTGTTGTTATCGGTATAGTTATGACTTTCGACTCAGCCATAGGGTACTGAATAACAGAGATGACGTTTTAAACTCCGGTTTCCGTTCCGATTATTTATGGCTTTATGAGGTTGGAAATGTGAAATTTTGGCCCTTCACGGGTCGAAATGCTTTGAAAGCAGCGAGTTTTCGGCCGTTTCGTAAATTAAAAAAGTCTCTTCTCGCCGTGGTACAATCAGGAACCCGTGACAAAAATCGATAAATATGGCCTGAGGTTGATCAAGTCAAAGTAGGTCTGTGTTACAATCAACATTGAATCACAACTTAATGAGTGGTTGTGCATGAGTTGAAACCCTCTGACAACAACTTGAGTGTTGCTTTGATTGCTCTTTCATAATCCGGCTGATGAACGTTTCATCAAAATATAGTGGATCTCGTGCACCCCAATGTAATGGATCGGTCGGCATTCAATCTATACTCAATGCCAGAAAGCTATGTGTAAGATGAAAATGCAAAGCATCTCATTATAAATAGGTTCCTATCTAGAATGAATTCTATTCTTAATGAAAAAATAGCTAACCTTTTAAAAACAATAGAAACAGATAAATGAATTCAAATTCTTTTTATTAATTTAATTTGTTAGTAAAATATCTTATAATTGAGGTTATTGGTTATTTTGGTGAATTAAGACACCAATTATTCTTTTCATGCCATATTTTTCAGGCGACACTTCTGTTCCTCTTCAAAGCTATAATACTTTTTTTTTTAAACACATAAATACTTCTTTATATTAAAATAGTTAGAAATGAATTTTTATGTACATATGAGTTATGTTAGCTAACCAGAACGAACCGGATTGAAAAGTTACTAAAACTGGGGGCCCCTCATTACTTATCATGTGATTGTCACAACCAAGAATAAATTTTACATTGGTAGATATATAAAATAAAAGTGAATAAATGAAAACAATAAATATGTGTATAAACATAATATAAATTAAAACAATAAATTCTCTACAATATTATAGAATACAAAACCTATGAACCACAAATATAAAATATATAAATATAAAATTAAAATATAGTCTTTGGTATAAAATATATAAAAATAAAACCTATTACAATGATTATGAATACTGATCATAAATCAATTTTGCCTACTCTCTAGGTTTTTAAAATAAATATTCAAAATGTTTTTATATTGGTTGTTCATTTTTTGAGAGTCAGTTTGTATATTGACATTGTTTTCGGTTAAGTTAACGTATATAGTTTCTAACAAATTTAACATTAGTTCAGTCTTTCTTTTATGAGAATTTTTACATTTTGAAATCAAATTTGCATTTTGTCTGGAAAACGTGTTGAGCTAATCGTGTAATTGTTGCTGATTTTTTACACCTTAATCATATTCATTCTATTTTTCAAAAACTTTACTGTTTGGCCATCGTAACTTATCCTTCTTCACTTTAAATGAATAAACAATTTTCCTTGATTCCATTTTTACTTATTTTGTCTTTTATTATCAGAATAACTGTATTTATTTAATTTATTTAAGTTGTTATAAAAACAGAAAACAAACATTTCCTTTTTTTAATACTTCAAGTATTTTGTCTGTTATGCCAGCAACGAATAGAAAGTTTCGTAGATATTCAAGCCCTTTGATTATTAGCCAATTTAGAATAATTCTATAAATGAGAATATTATAGATTTCAAAAACCATTTTTAGATAATCTTATAAAGATGACTTTAGGAGGCACCATTCTTTAGGTTTTAAAGAAAAGAGCCAAGAATGAAACTTAAATAATAAACTGGTGTTCACGAGACATCTGTTGCAAGAATTATTTGTTTCAGAAAGTTGCCATTTATATTCCCAAGTTGTTTGCATTACATGCAATATTATTATAAATATGATTTTTTTCTGGTGGAGTTACGCGTTGTATTCAGAATACATCATACTTTAAGTCCTCGTGCTTTTCGTCGTGGACGCAGGGAAGTAAAGCCTTTTCTGTACATAAGAGGGCATTGCCTAGAAGTATTTATGTAGTGTCGTGGAAGTGGCTAAATTTGTATGCGTTCAAATTCTTAAAAAATAAATAAATTACAAGGACAACGCTTGACTAATTAAGGATCTTTATCTTTATGATCGCGGCTACGTCGACCTTCTTAATTTTGAAGATTTGTGTATTAATAACACATGATAACATAAACGGGGGCGCTGGCCGCAAGGCTGTAGCGTTCGCACGGCGCTCATCACTGGTGAATTCTCGGTTCCTGGGTTCGAAGCCAGAGGCTCTGAAAATAACCTAATATAATTAAAAATGGATTTTTTTTTAAATCCGGCACCTCTGGGGTTGATGTGGCAGGACCACTGCTGCCGAACCTCCTTAAAAAAGAAAAAAGAGAGAGAGAGAGATAAAACAACCACTACTGAAGCTCTTAACCCGGAGGACACGTGTACAAAATCAACCAACAACCTAATTCTCTAGGTCTCTGGGTCATCGTTGTTTGATATGGATGTAATGGATTGAAAGATTGGAGTTGTGAAACTTCTGAGTACTTTTGATGCTTAGATAGATTGGATGTTATATGGATTGGTAGTACTCTACAGCTCCGCATGTTCAAATAGGTCGCCAAATAAGTACGTTGTTAGATCTTTACAGTCATTACTGATTTAGATCCTAGAATCATAATTATCGAAATCTTCTGTTTACTTCTTATCACTTCAGTCTTACGTGGGCATTACACGTCTAAGTTTAGTCCTATGTAAATTGTAAAGATTTCGGCAGTTCCTTGCTGTTAGCGTATCGGTACTACTTGGGTTGGATTTGAGTCAGGAGATAAAATTGCAGTATCGTCCACACGGATGTGAGGGTGTATCGGCGAGTAAGAAGTATGAGTAGTGAATAGGATGGGTGGAATGGAATGCTCCCTGTAGGGACGCTGGCTTGGATCGGTCTTGACTTATAGAAATCATTGCTACACCTTACTTTGAAGGGATTGTCAGATAGGATTTTAGGTTTGGGTATTAAGGAGGTTGTCAAAAGAAAGCATTTATTTTTAAAAATAAATTTCAACTTGTTGGAAAAACCAAGCAGGTCAGAGATGGCAGACTATCAGCCAGCCGATATCTAAGAACCAATTATTCTAGGTACCAAAGGTGAAAAAGAGCTCTTCTATCATTGTAACGAAATACTTCAACCCTTAGACCAATTAAATCCATTAGTCCAATTAGACATATATGTATAATATGCATTCTTGTACCATCTAGAAAAGGGGCTCACTCTTGCAGTAATCCGTTACAGTGTCGGTTTCACTATTGTAATATTTTACAATAAAGCTTGTTCTTTTTAAAAAGCACCAGGACGATTTTTTAACTTGGATTAAGAAATATTTTTGTTTTGTATTGGCTAGGAGTTCTGCTTTCATAATATTTATTATGTTTGATCAAGTTAGATAAATAATGAACCTTAATGGGAGTTTCATTTGTTCTTCAAATCGGGGAAAACAAGCGTGCTTTCATGCGTCATCGACCTTGTTAAACGTTCCGTTAGATTTTCCAGAAAATGTGATAGATTTTTTTGAGTTGAGTCAATTCATTCAAGGCGGTTAAATTCGAGAAAGGTTGAAGCCGTTGATTTGGTTTCTGCGTATCAAACGGGTCGTCCGTTGGCCAAGTATAATAATTGGTTCCTATGAGGGTTTCGTTTTATCTCACCCAAACGCCCTTATTTTATTTCTGGCGAACTCGGTCATAAATAATTTGATTTATTTTAATTAATGGATTCTGATTATCGCATGCTGGGACAGCAGGTTTAATTGCCTCCTACTTCGAGAGATATTCAGACCGTTTCAGAGCCGACCACATTAATCGAAAACATCACTTGGCTGCCGGTTTGAAATTTGAGCTGGGTTTTCTGTCCAGGTTTTAACCCATTGGTTAATTGGACAATATCTCTTGATGGTTACAAAACATAGGATGCACTTTCGCATATTAACTAATTTATATAGGAACTACTGGCTGTGACTGAATATCGAGTAGCTCACAGGCCCCCAAATTGGTTTAGGTAATTATATATTTGTTGTGTGATGTGAGGGCCAGGTCGCCGCTGTCAAGGTTCTAGTAGTACTGTCGAGATGCTGCGACCTCTCTAATATGAATGTATTTATTATCGTGAATGTTTTGTGTAAATGGACGTGGATGTCGAGGAATATCGAGTACTCCACAAGCCCGTCAAAAGGAAATTAGTCTAATGGATGAATGACATTCTGTACATACTGTATGAATGTATTTATTAGCACGAATGGAAAGAAGTTGGTAGGATTATGACTATCCTACCGACTTTTTATTTAGTATTAGGACCTCTGTCGTGCACCTGTACTCTGAGCCCTGCCAACTGTAGATTAGGTAATCATTTTCTTAGCGTGAGTCGCTGTTGCTGCAGGTCGTCTCAAAGGGGCATAAGATGTGAGGCCTACTTCTCACAAACTAATACGAATCATTTATGTTGATAAAGGCCTTGCCAAAACATCTTGTACTTCATTTAGGATCTGGCGAGCACTACGGAAAGGGTCCCGTCTTGCAGCATTGAAAACATTTCTGTCCTCCCTTAGCTTCGCAATGCGCTGAGATCGAATGCCAGGATTAGGATGCCTCCTATTGGTACTTCCAGTGTCTCGGAAATCCTGGGAGACCACGCTCTGAGAAACACCAACTGCCTCTGACTCATTCTCACTATAACATTGCGAACTTCTGGTTCAGGATGATGTCTTTCATGGTTAAAGAGAATACAACTGAATTAAAATAGAAAAAAGTCGAGAAAAAGTGATTCTTTACAAAATGAGTAATCTTCATGTTTACTATTTTTAAGTAAATCCCTTATTAAAAATTTGTTTGTTTTTGGTTTGTATTTTCTATTTTGTTTCATCCATCTAACACGAATGTAACGGTTAATTTAATTAAAATTAATATAATAAGAATAAATTACAAATATCTCTATTCATTTTAAAGCAGTTTATGTTATAAAATGATCCCATGAAGATGAATATTGTTTCCTTCGTTTTTGTAGTCATTTTTTGGATGTTTAATTTTTTTTTATCACAATAAATGTATACTGCATTACTTGTTTTCAAAAAGAGCTGTTTTAAAAGCGCCATTTTCCGGTTTTTTAAAAGTATTTTTAAATGTTTTCGTACTACTAAAGTTCGTCATAATTCACATTTTGTTATTGCTAGTAGATTGAGTTTTAACATAAAGAAAACCATGTTACTTCAATATTTATTTGATTGTTAATATGGTAGGTTTGTAATCTTTGTGAGCAATTATACGAATTAAAGGGATATGAATGTCATTATCCAGAGAAAAAAGTAAAAGATATAAACAATGAAAATTATATAAATGGACAGGTCGATTTATAGCCTTATTTTTCACTCACGGTAAAAAAAAGTATAAAAGCAATATATTGTGTCAAATATAAAAAGTGAAAAACAATACTCCACGATTTGCTCATATGTTAAACTTGTCAAAATTTACCATGCGAATTTTAACCGCCTCATTAATTTTACTCAGTTTAATAAAAAAATACTATAATTTATCAGAGGGATAACTATAAATAATTAACTAAATATCCTTTGCTAAAGACGTTGCATGACCTAGTTATAAAAAATATCATCAAACGTTCTTAGGCAGTTAATACTAGACGCCTGAACTCAGAGAACGAATAATAAATCTGATTAATAAATCGAGTGCTATCACTGGATCGACTCATGTTTGTTGAATAGCGTTTGTGTTCTTTGACATTGACATTACCAATTCTTCGCTAAGTTCATGTTCCAAGACAAGTATATTCTGACATAGAATAATCTAAAATAAGAAATCCATTAAACTATTGTAATTTACCAAAAATGTGATTGGTAATGTTGTTACTGTAAATGCTAAGATGAAATGGTCTTTCGTTTAATATTGAAATAACATAATTTATACGTGCTTGGTGGTCTCACGTTAATGCCTTTCTAACTTAAGCCCGGCAAAACAATTCTACTCTGCTTCATCCGGGTCGGGACGGATTGTAATTAAGCATAAAAAGGTCAGCACTTATTGTAACTTTACGAGCGCGAAAATGACACACACACAAACACACATTCTCTCTCAGTCACAACAGTAATTATGGCGGATAGTGAAAACACGTTGTTTCAACATGTTCTTCAATTTTTATAAAATGTCACTAAAGTTGGTGAGAATTTGCGAAATGACTTGAACAAGGATATATTCCAGACTATAAGTGAGTTGGGCAAAGTTTCTTCTAAGTGGAAAAAGAGTTGCAAGAAATAAAAACGAAAACGAGAGCCGCGGGGCGAACGTAAGGGATAAATCGTCGGAGGAAGGTTATATGTGCATAGTTGGCTGCCCAACGACTGACTGGCAAAACAATCGAATAAGATAAGCCTAGTTTTAGGATTGTGCTAACATCAAAATCAGTGGAAACTGGATATGAAGTATCCAGCGGATAGAGGGAGAAAGAGAATTTCGTAGGATGGAGGTACAGAGGAAGGAACGACAAAATGCAGAACTTCTTTGTTTTGGGAGATAAAGGTCAGAAAGGTACAGAAGATCTAAGTGTAAGGGAGGAGAATGGGAAGATATCTGATATAGGAAGGAGCTCAGGAAGTATTGCCACCGGAACGCGAACGTATGACCACTTCAATTCGAATCAGCAATGTGGGTCCTTCTTGGGTAGCCGAAGATGAAACGTACACAAAAATTAATTTCTTCATACCCAATCCGTAATCAAATTGGGGAAAATAAGAGAGGAAACTAAGAGTTAACGTGTACTAAAGGGAGGAGGTGGCTAGTCAAACGGGACTGAAGAAGAGTGGAGAAGCAGTGAACGGAAATCTAACAAATAAGGGACTTCCAGAACATGGTCTGATGAAAGAAGGTGATAATTGTAAACGGAGGGATATGAGGTATGGAATGGATGAGAGACCTGGATAAGTGCAATGACATTGCGATTTCTTTTCTACATTCAGCGAAGCCCATTTTTAGCGGTCCAGGCGCTAAATGAGCTTACGTCCTTCTGAATTCTTTCTACACAATCTTGTGAGTCATCATGATATGAGATGAGAACCGTAAATTTTGGAGTCATGTGCACAAGGATGGGAACAATATTTTATGAATTTTGGGAAATAATTAATGTCAAAGAGAATCGGAGTTGTTTGATGTTTTAGGAATCCCAGGCGTTAATGAGATTGGAGAATTTGAGACCAAACGGAAAGAGTTGAAACAGCGTTAGACAATGGCAGATAAAGTTTAGTAAAAAGAAGAGAATAAACGGTACCAAAGGATTTTGAAAAATCTAGAAGGACTGAACTTGTACTTTTATATTGGTCAATAGCGGTCTGTGTGACTGTGGAAATTGTTGGAATAGCAGATCGTAGAAAAGACAGGACGGAAGCCAGATCGGCGAAAGGAGATTTCAGTTTTCTAAGTCGGTGGACATTTGTAAATGGACTCATTTTTCAAGGTTTAACAGGTTAAAGACAAAAGACAAGTATTTACTGGGGCAATTCGTAATGTCTGGTTTTTGTCACTTTCTCCTCATAAAGAAATGAATTTCTCTATGATTGACATTTTTGTTTACTCATATTCACAGTAACACCCACCTATGGAGAACTAAATTATTACTGTCTGGGTGTAAATGCACATTTGAATTGAAAATGGTCACATTGATTATGCGTTTAATCAACGTTTTTCTATTGACCTTAATTTTAAGTTCTTATTTGCATATCTTTTGTAATATCATAAGCCTCGTTGGCTGTGAAATAGGTTGATGTCGATTTCACACTGAAACCTTTTAATTTCATAGGGAAATATCATATAAAAGATCCCAAAAAACGTACTGATAGAATAGGCGCTTCCTGGCTGCGAATGAGCTTTAAACATATGTTCCTAATTTCTCAACGGTCAGTTATCACAAGTGTAAAATTCAGTTTAAGTACTGAAAAAATCAGTCATTAAAATGGCTAAATTTCTATTAAAAATGACGAAAGTAATAGAAGGTGTTTGGCCACTCATAACTGCTAAACTTGCTATGAAATCTTTGAGAAATTAATAGTTAATTTTACACTGGTCATAAATGACCTTTGAGAAATTTTGTATATGTGTTTAAAAGTCATTAGTTGGATCAACGTTTCTGTGAGCGCCATATCAATCAGCATTTGCAGAGCCATAAAAATCTTACTTAAACTTTAGACAAAAAATGTTTATGTTCTAACTGATTTTATGCTGCGTTTGATTAAGGTTACAATAAAAAGTTAATCTCACGGGGATTTTTATGCTCTTTCAATCGGTGTAATCCAATTTAAAGTAGAATTAAATTGTTATAAAATTCGTGGAACTTTATAAACGAAAGTTGTGAAAGGTTGAAGTAACCTGCAAAGAGAAGTATCTCAAATACAGTTTAAAATCAGACTTTGGAAAATAGGGACGTTTTAGTCTAATTTGACATGTAGGACAACCTTCTGAATTATTGACGTCCATTCATGGTATACACTGCATGATACTTCACACATATCTCGTTTCTTGTTAGATCTTATAAGTTTTTTGCATTACCTACCTATTTATGATGATGGTTGTTGAATAAAGGTAAACGGGCAGCAAATTTGTTTTATTAACATACATTCAATTGGATATTATTAGAGCTCAAGTACTACCTACAATGAAGGAAAAAACCGATTACAATTAAATCGAAAATTCCTTTACTTATTAGAAATAATAAACACCGAAAGTAATATGTAATATACGTAAAAGTAATATGTACATGGAAATGTGGAAAAAACTTATATGACAGTCCAGATATTGGCAAATGGGTTTTTGGTAGCAACGATCAGTTTTCAGTTCATTGGCCTGTTGATCGGTACCAGCTCGTGCGTCTCTCTCCAGGATCCGTTGACAGTCTTGGTCCTCCTGGTGCTGGCTGTTCTGCAGTACTCCGAAACTACTGCAACAAAACAGAGTCAGCACAGTCGTAGAGAACCTTACAATGAAATAGCTGTTTTATTATTCAGTACCGCAGTAATGAAACAAGGCTCATTTGAATTTTTAACATTTTCGGTCCTCCCATGGCTATTGTTTTGTTGAAATTTGTATTTCACCCTGAGCGCCGAAGGCTTTTGATGCTTTGTGAATTCGAAAGAGGTGAATTTACAACAGAAGCGACGTACGCCTGGTTGTGAGAGTGGGCCATTTCAGCTGGGACAATGATATTGTTCTAGGCATGATTCATTTTCACAAACTAGCATTGTCCTCGATTAACTGTTAACTTTAATTTGCCGTGTGGGCCTATAATTTGCCCTATAATTTGTTAATTTTCAATGTTTAATCATACAAAACACATTTTATTAAAAGGTTATTTCTAAATCGGCTGAATTCCTCCAAGCACAGTTTTACTCCCACTTCGTCCTTCATACTCCATTGCCTTCCATTAATTCCCTTCGAACGCTCTGATTTTCTTCCACTTCCGAAAGAGCAGATTGGAAACTTTGCACGGAGTTATTTCCCCTAGGGTTGTGTTCACACACGGGATTTCCTGTGGGGTAGTGTACTGTAGATCAATTACGATAGATAGATTCTTCGGTAGGAACTAGTACTAATTCGAAATGTTTTGTTCAACGTTTACATATGTCGGTTTGGAGGTTGTGGAATATGTCTTAATTTGAATAATTACAAAAAACACGTGAATTTGACGCAAGAGTATCTCGATTAAAAAATTGAATATTAATGAGGAAAATTAAACCTTATTCTTCATAGAAGCATTAAAACTGACAGTTTTATTAGTACTTATCGATTCTTCATTTATTTTCTTCACCCAATTGAATAAAATAAACCTTGACATATCTCGGATGGGAAACCAGTGAGTCACACTTATTAGTTCACGAGAGAAAAATGGATACGTTTATCACCCCAACGGACCGAAAGCAACTGGATATTTCTCGAAGTTTTCGGTTTTCTTACGTTCGACTTATATGTATGAAAGAGAAAAATTGTGAACCCAATTGATCGAAATGGCTATTTTTAGTCCATTTCACCTTCCTTTTCTTGCAGTGTGGGATTATGTTTCGCCTTTCATTTGCCATTCTTTAGCAATTATTTATATTTATACAACCGTAGTGTTTCGCTTCGTTTGAAACGTCTAATACAATGTTTGGTTTTGTTTTTGACAATTTTGAACCCGGCTCATGTTACACATTATTAATTTTTTCTGTTGATCGACTTGATTTTTTCACCTTTCGTTGAATGATCAATAAACAAAATATTTTACGTTAAATTGCACAGAGTTCGACAGTAAGTTCAAAATTAATGTACGAAAGTTCCACCCTTCGAATAAATAATTGAACTTAACGCCTGATTTGGATATAAATAGCATACTGGCGAGAGTGATCATACTATTTTTAGCACAAATTTAAGTTCAAAGTTCGAATCCGTCTTATCTAAATTGACAGTTTATTTTGTCGGGATAAAATTGAATTTTTACATGTTAAATAAGATTAATATTTTAAGATAATAATGTTAAATAAAAACAACGATATTTGTCTGTATCTATCCTCCCACTGTACCACCTGCAAAGCTATTCTTCGCTTTCATTTAACATGGGTTGGATCCAAAACTGATTAGGGCACAGAAACAAACAATAAGATACATATTGTCTCATCAAGCAGTAATAGTACAATAGCACAATTTAGTAATCATCCGAAATGCGAATCATCTCCCCTCTCCCTCTCTCTCCCCCTCCCCATATCACTCCCTCCCTCCCTAGCCCCTCCATCCCTCTCGCACTTTCTCTCACTTTCTCTCTCTCTCTCTCTCTCTCCTCCCTCCCTCCCTCCATTCGCCGCCCTCTCTCTCTCTCTCCCTCCCTCCCCCCCGCCGTTTGAAATAGTTGATTGATAAACTGATGTAAAAACAAAAAAAAAAACTACAAAACGCCAAACTCTTTTTTGTACTACTTTAATTGGGGGGAATATGTATATAAAAGAGTATGAAAGGTTGTAACATTATAAACAGCAAACAAGTCATATTTAAAAGGTTATTCGACATCGAAAAGTCAATGTTACATTTTCCGCTTAATGAAGCTCTCTGTTAATTATGATTGTGTACGTGTCCCTTAATGATTTATTAGGCAAAAGTTCTAACAGTACAACAGATTTGCACGTGCCATTCAACAACGTTGAAAACTTTTGTACATTGTACGTATAGAAAGTTAGCGATATCAATTATAACCGATTACCGTTGAAGATATTTTGAATTTATTTGGGTTTTAGATTTTATGCTTCGGTGGCCAATAAATTGTTTATAAAATGTATTAAAAACATTGATTACTATTTCTCGTTTGTTTAAATAATTTATCCCTCCCATTTGGGACGTATGGTTAAATGTGTTTTTGAACGGATAAGCCTTTTAGGCTTTTTTCCAGTTTTGATTTTATAAATTCATATTTTGGTAGTGCGTACTTGAACCAGGACTAACAGCATATATATTCATTATTAGAACTATTTTAAGGTTTATTATGTAAGTATTTAGCAGATTCAATAGGCAGGAAATGTAAAGCATTTAGGTATTAGTAACGTGCTATTGTGCAAAGCGATTAGCAAAATAGTCAAACAAATATTCACTAATTGTATGCTGTAATTAAGTATGCAAATAGCTGATTTTTTCTTCAACTATTGTGGTATTGAAGAGCATAGTTTATTTTGGAACCTTTAGTAAATATTCTGAACTTGTATACAGTTTCCTTTATTATTATGTCGCACGCTTTGATTCTCTGGTATTTGCTGATTTGATCAACTATAATCTGTAAGGTAATCTGCTTGAACACCAGCCCGAAGGACAGAGAATTTCGCCAATTAATGAAGTTGTTAATCACGAGTCTCTTGTTTTATGTAATAAACTTCTGTCGTCTATTGCCGAATTCGCCATGTCTAAATTAGAATCAATTTAACGGACTTACGAATTTTTGTTGAAGTTATTATTACACCAGTACTTCAATATATGTGAATAATCGATTTCTACCTCATTTAAGTTCAAAGGAAAATGATTTGAAGTAGATACTTCGTTGTTTAATTATCCCTGAACATTGAGATTCTCATGGTAAACAGCTACATGATTATTATATTCACAATGATCAGAGACCATAAATCTTTCATTAATGGACAAATATAGTCCCAAAATGCAGCAAAACACAATAAACATAAATTAAGTCAATTTTGTTAAAACTAGAGAGTGATTACCAGTAATTTGAGTAGTTTCAGCCCTTCGGAGCAGGTCCGGTTTGAATATGGAGATCAGGGCTTTTCTGAAGTTCTGGCCGCTGACGCAGTACAGGGCGAAGTTGATGCCGAAGTTAGTCAGAAATAGTAGTTGGAAGTATTGCTGAAGAATAATCATGTTTATGTTCTGTTCCTCTCCTAGATTCAGACTCTATACACCAAAAACATAAAGTTAACATTAATGAAATTAACCTAATGTACATTTAGTAATGGAGGTAAATATGTGTATTGTTTAGTGACCGTTAGTCAGTGATTATTCGGAGATCTTGAGATGCGGTCAGGTGTGACGTAGGTTTGAGAAAAACATTCTCTTTATCGTGCCAACGTTTCGTTCTTTATTGAGAACATCTTCAGGGCCTGGGATTTATTAATGGAGGTAAAGATACAAGGATAATCGCATGAAGAGAAAATCTTCCGGAACCTTTTTCATACAGGGTTTTATTACACACCGTTTATGTTTGAAAAATTGCCGCCCTCGGGTAAAAAACAACAGATGGCTTTTTTACATTTGTGCCATAGTTTATACGATTCTAAAGTCCCATAATATTTCCTGTGGATCGGTGGAATCGTTTCAAGGGTATAACCGTTTTTGTGACATTCTGAAAAAATCGGAGGCATTAGTTGGAAGTTGAAAAATATATATTACTTATTTTATTTTCTTTCGTTTATTATTTATTTATTTTATGATCTTACCAAAAATTTTGTATTCAGGGGATTTTCGAGGTTTACAAAAAATATGGAAAAATATTTTGGGGGAGGAGTCAGGGTCATAAATTTCAATTCCATTCCAATTTGTAAAGCAAAAATACGAGAAAAACATCAATTTTCGATTTTCCCAGAAAATTTTTTTTGGGGGTGTGAAAAATCACTATCTACTTTGAGTCTTGCTTCAAAAACACTTTTCTAACTCGCTGGGTCAAAATTATTTGGCAATTAACCATACTATGGGTATGGAATATATTGAAATACATTATTTGTTAGTAGTAAACCAAAATTAAAATATTTTTAAAATGTTGAACATTATTATTGTGCAATAATATTTGAAGTGTGTAGATCACAAGGTGGTCTAACGAACATTCGGAAAAAAAAGGTCGCTCGGTGCCTTTTTAGAAAAATCCCAAACATTTTTCAGTTTTACATTGAACAACATTTTGCGGAAAAGTGAATTACATTCTTTCGGTCCTTGCTCATTTATGTTTGATGAAACGCTTGGTGCGGCTGTTTGGACTGGGTATTTTCCGTAAATGGTTCGGATCAGGGTCACACTTCCGGACATGTTTCCGACTTAAGTTCCCAAAGGAAAAATTGGTTGGGATCGGTTTTTCATTTTTTTCTCCAAGGCTTCGCTGTTGTTCAACGGGAAAGCTATTTAAAAAGAACGCCGCGAATTTCCTGTACCGGTCGCCAACGACATTCATCTTCTACACCTGCCCCACAAGATTTTCCGTTGGACTATATTTCACACATTTTCGTTTAAAGTTATTTGAAAGAGAATAAACTTTATTTTGTGGTAATTTTTAACAAAATTATGATTGAATTAAAAATAAAGGAAGCTGTAATAAGTAAAGAAAACCCGACGGGAATTCAGTGTTGAATAAAAGGATAATTGCCTTTTGGCTTATTTTTCACGTTTCTATGATGTGGAATTTTCCTTAGTTTGACTTTCCTGGTAGAATCTGCCTATAACGAATACAATTAGGTCATTCAGAAGCCAATTCATTTTAAAACTGGATTTAGAAATTTTATACTAAGTCCTCCAATTTACTCAGTTGGAAAGTTAAAAATAAATACCGTTAAATAAATCCACCTCTAATTGAATAAATTTTGTCAGAGCTTGTTGAAGGTAAATATAGTTTGGTCAAAAATGTCAGGCTTTATGAAAAGGAAGATGATATTTGACTCAAAAATGATTCTATAATTCAAACTTCATATTTCATGGTGTCGCACGAACTGCACCATTAAAAAAGTTGTATTTGTATTTAATTTTCGTTTAACGAGCTTCTTGGAGTTTCCTCAGCCCTCGCTGTCCTCTCTCCCACGTTGTATCTGAAATTCAAATCACGAGATAAACTTATCCGAGAGCTTAGGCTTTGGCGAGGGTAACAGTTTTTCGCTTCCCCTGGAGACCACCGGCGTACAAAATGTTCGGCCTCGCTCCTAGAGATTTTTTCCTTTCGCACATTTTCAAGCCCATCATTTCCTGTCAGTGGGAGAACCGTATTTTCTTACTGTTATTTTTTTTCCATTCCGCGTTTTCTCTTGAAGGGTATTACTTTCTCCCTCTGTAGATGGGTATGTTTACATGCCGAAACTGGAAAAGTCAATGTTGAAACAAACAGCAGGCCTTATTTTATTTAAACGTTTGACGTCGTAATGTTTTAAAAATTAAACGCCTTCGATATAAAATTCAATTGGTTTGTCACTATAGATGGAAATAATTAAATCTTCGTGTCAAGTTATAAAAGAGTAGTGACATATTCAGAATAGTTGAGATTTGGTAGAGCAGATTGCCGTGGCAATGTCGAGGTTTTTTTTTGGTTTTTTTCAGCGCAGCAGCCAAGGTATATTTATGCCAATTAGGTGTTGGGTGTTGAGTTACTGATAAGTTTCTACCCTCGTCCGTCATGGATAAAATATAAATGTAATAAACCACAATCTGACCGGGGAAGAAACCCTTTCAATCTGGTAATACATACCTACACCTGATTTTATTCACACTGCTCCAGAATATTCGATATTCCTCGACCAATTGGTGAAGGGTTATTCTTTTCACATACTGCCCAAAAGGATTCCTTATTTCTTTGGGTGATTCGGAAAGGAGCCCCTCCATGTCGCTAACAAATTACATTCACATACCAGACTTCATTCACACGCCGCAGATTTCACCTCGTGGTAGGTTATTTGAGAAACCGCTTAATCAAAATATTAAAAAAAAATAATATGCTCGAGAAAGATTTACCAACGGATATAAATCTATTTTGCAAGAGAATTAAGTTAATTTAGAATTAATATACAGGCTACAGCTGGTATTGATATAAATTGACTTGATATGAAGACTAAATAAGAAAATGCTATCAGAGGAATAAATAATAATTCCTAAAATACAGAATGTGAAATATGTTAATTTGAAAATAAATTTATGCATGTTAAGACCTTTCGTTTTAATATGTTCGCAAAAAAAGTGCGCATAAAATTATGTCGTTTTTTCACTCTATTTTGATTTAATTAGTAGTTCCGGGACTCTTGTTTCTGCTCCAGTGTCTTATTAGAGACGGAACATTTAATTAGCGGAAATTTAATGCAAGATCCTCACCATCCACATACAGGTAATTTCGGAAGATAATTAACGGAGTTTAAATTACTGATTAAATTTTCAATGGCCTTTTTCTATTAAATAATAATAATTCTATTAATCGAATTTACTCAAGGTAACAGATAAAATTTCAAATTAAATAAATCCTGCGTTATGAGTGAGGTTGAATGACATTTCAAATATGACAAATTTAAACGTGAACAACCATATTTTTGAAACATCAAACTAATTTATTGATGGTTTGAGGTGATAGCATGAAAATATTTTATATAGATTACATTGTATTGTATTTATAAGCGAGAACTTCTTGGAAACGGATCGTTTTGTTGAATAGTTACATAGAATTTTCATAAAATCGAATTGCCACGGAAACATTTGTATTGATCACAACATCCAACAACTCCAAGAAAATATAGACGATATAGTTATCCGAAGAGTAAATTTGTAGTTTCAAAACGTAATGATTGCAATCCCCTTCTGCAGTCTTCACAGATTTGTCAGACTTCTAGTTCTCTCGGGAGCATAATATACAAATAATAATAATTTACTAAAATAAAGACAATACACAGCTTATAAAGAAAAAACGGGGGCGTCGGTGGCCGCAACGGTTTAGCCATTGACACTGGGTTGATCACTGTAAGGTAAAAGTCCCGGGTTCAAATCCAGCGGCCCTGCATTCAGACCCGACGTACTTTCAATGGGCTTTTTTAGAAAAACGCCTGCACCCCGAGGGTTGATTTGACCTCTACTATTGCGAACCCTTGTGAAAAAATTTAAAAAAATGATACGACTCCACCTAGCTTGTAGGAAAACTTTGACTACCAGTATTGAGCAAATTTCTCTTGAAAAAGTCCCGACGCCAATAAAAGCATTGTGTTTGATTGTCCGCCATTTGAAAGGGGGTTAATTAAAATGCATTTAGCTGTCCTATTCATGAACTGTTTCGCTATACAGAATCCATTTGTAAAACAAATCTCTATCATGGCGTTTTCTCGCAGCTTTCAAAGAAACGAGATTGCTCGATACCAAAATTTCTGCAATTGGGAATTTAAAACTATATTCAAATATATTTTCCGACTAATGTGGTCTTCGAATAAATAAACTAAACATACATAGGGTTTATTTTTATGACAGCTGAATAAAGAAATATATAAAAAGCAACGCAAATTGAAGACCAAATATGTCTAAAAAGTTAATTTTATTTTTTTAATTGTATCAAAATATCGGCAGCATTTATCACAATAAAGCTACCTAGGTATAGATCGGAAAACCTGAGGAAGACCTCACCTTGACTGATGACTTGTTAATCCCATTAAGCATTTTGTGACTTTATTGCTTCGAGAAACTGAATTTTTCAATCACTAATTGGTTGCTTATAAGCAAAAGCGGGTAGGAAAAGAAGGTGAATGTTTTAATACAAATTTTGACCGCATAAAATTTCATGAGAAACGACTTGACTGAACCAAATTTAAATTCGCCTCGACGTTTTCCAGTTTTTGATTAAGGCGAATAACCCTCTTTTCCACTCATTTTTGTCCCCTCCTCCCCAAAAAAAGTGGAGGAAGCTTGTACGGCTATTAATAATGAATTATGAATTACTTCATGAATTTTCATTATCCTGACTGTTTTTGTTCACCAAAACCCCTCACTCTCTGTATAAAAATTAAAAGAAAAAATAATATTTTTACATTCAAAATATTTTGCTGAAGTGAATCTAATTTCAAAATTTATTAGAGAGCGGAAAACGGTTCTTGCCTAGGTTTTACTTATGGATGCACTACCCTTGCTTTTGGCAACCAGAAGTGTCTTAGTTTTGTGATCACACAGGCGAGACTGTG